GTAAGTCTACTTTAACAATTCCTTTAGGAAACTTTATCTCTAAACCTCCAAGATAGTGTTGAGAATCATTCCCAAGCATATGGCCCACTGATATCCATCTAAAGGGTCTCATGAGAAGGTTTTATTACTGGTAATGAATAACCTTTTCCCCAGACAATAGCTAGCCCCTCAAGGTCCTAGAAACCTTGCTTCCAAAATTCCTTAGAGACTTATGCCATCCTTAATCCTTTCCCAATTCACAAGTATCTAATAGACCACTCCTCACATCCTGGGGCAGCAGCTCTTCCTGCCCACGGGTCCTGTCCCCGTGCTTTAATAAACCCACCATTTTGCATCAAAGATGTCTCAAGAATTCTTTCCTGATCATCAGCTCCGGACCTCACCCCACTGAACCTCACCTATGTTCTAGAACTTCATCAATAGCAGAACTCTTCATGTTGGCAAATTTATGAATATGTTTCATTATTTTTAGAAACATTTTTTCATATTATCTTTCAGTAAAGCAAAAAATATGTTTATTAACAGATCCAAATTCATCTTTAGTTTCTCTATAATAAGACAAAAGTAGATAAACATGCTCAGTACTTAATGTTTCATTATTTTATCTTATTCAGAAGAGATCTAGATTATCAACAAGCTTAACTTTACTTATCATTTAACCTAGCAAAACTATAAAATTTTAGCTTTCCAAAGACATTGGAAGCTATTTACAAGTTTACCTACAAAGCTTTTAATTTTATTTATATCTATTTAATTTACTTCTTTTAATAATTACATGTAGACTATCCACAACAACTTCATGAGGCTTTAGACAGAATCAACCATTATTCTAAGCTTTTTTCTTTCTGACAAATTTTGCAACAGAAATACCCTGGACTTATTTGACTTTTATAGTAAACACAAGCAGGATAAAAATTTTATGATTTTATGCTTAATAGTGATAACTCTGAAAACATGTCCATATTAAATAAGCCAACAAGCTTAATTTAGCTTTACCAAATATTTTCCCAGATTACATGAATTTGAAAAAGATTTGGATTAGTTTCTAATTTTCTGGATGTTAGAATGCCCAATCTTTACAAGCATGTGCCTTTAAACAGACTAAATAGAGCTCTTCTACATATTAACTATAGCAATACCATCCAGAATTAGAGAAAATATCTCACATTAAAACACACATGGACAGGGTGCCTGGATGGCTCAGTGGTAAAGCCTCTGCCTTTGGCTCAGGTCATGATCCCAGAGTCCTGGGATGGAGCCCCGCATCGGGCTCTCTGCTTGGCAGGGAGCCTGCTTCCACCTCTCTCTCTGCCTATTTGTGATCTTTGTCTGTCAAATAAATAAACTTTTTTTAAAAATCTTTAAAAAAAAATACATGGACACACACACAGCACAAAATACAGACAAGAGATGCTTTTGTGAAAAGGACATTTGGCTCACTTTTTTTTGGAGATTTATGTATTTATTTTAGAACAAGCATGGGGAGAGGCAGAGGAAGAGGGAGGAATCTCAAACAGACTCCACGCTGAGCTCAGAGCCCAATGTCATACGCAAACTCACAACCCTTAGATCATGACCTGAGCTGAAATCACTTAACCAACTGAACCACCCAGGTGCCCCGAGGCCCAATTTTTAAATAGCTCTAACTATCTATCTGCCTCTCTATCTATCATCTATCTATCTATTTTTATGAAAAACTTTTCCCTAAAGTTTGCATGTCAAAAAGACTGGCTCCTGGGTTGTAGAGAAGATAGAAGTAGAGAATTTATATCAAATGCTGAGAGTGTGTAAATTTTCTGAAAAGTGCATAATTGGAGTATTTCTGCTTGTTATTGTAGGTGCTATAGTCTGGTCGTAAAAGCCCTTTCAGAAGTTTGCATGTTAAAAAGGCCTCTTTCCCCTCATTCTCACCCTTACCCCCTTTTCTTTTCTTTTTTAATTCAGTCTCAGGAGACTGTGGGATGAGTTTACAATTCAAAGACATGATAAAATTTATGATTTCAAGGGACAGAGAAAGAATGCAAAGAAATTTTTTTTCTAGAGTTACTGGGTAATTGCTAGTTAGAAACCTAACCCCCCTTTTAAAGTACAAAACAATTTTGTTCTAATATCCTGATTTTTAAAATAATATCCATAAACATTTTGAAAGGCATATGCAAGGTCTGGAGATTGGTAAAGATAGGTGGGCTTTAACTTGTTTCTAGAGTTATAGGGATATTCATAGAGATTTGTAAAATAAAGGCAGAACTGTTATAGTCTATCAAGGAATTAGCCCATCTTCCTAACTGAATTTGCTTCTTCATATCACAAAATTTTAAGTAGAATGGGAACCAAAAGATTTATATCTTTGTAAAGTCTATCTAAAGTATTTTAACAAAAGCCTTGTTTTTCTGGGTATACAAAGTAAACTTGGTTTCTATTCGCCCCTGAATATTGGCCTTTTGCAAATCACTTATGGAATGGCCTAGTCATCTATATCTCATATATACAGTCATATAATCTCTGTAATTACTCTCTAAATTTCGTAGGATCTTTTGAAAGTAAAGGTAAAGGGGCTTTATAATTTAAAAAATCTGCTGTGGTCCAGGGGGACGTGATTTTGTTGTTGGGGGCGGGTGGGGGGATGGAGGGGGCAGTGGATCTAGAATACTCCTTCAAAGGGTGTTGTCCAGGAATGCTTGAGGCTTGGCAGAACCTGATTACAGAGCCAAGGCGGGTAGGAGCAAAGCAGCACTTACTGCTAGTCTCCTGCTGCTTTTGTGAAACATTTTCTGGTTTTCAGCATTTACCTGAGCAACCTATTTACTTTGAACCTAGAGATTAGGCCAGAGTGATCTCTATAAATCTTGTAAGAAGAGGAATTAAAACAGGCAGATGCAGCCAAATTTTAAGGAGAATTTACCTTGGCTGTGGACATTGCTTTTTGTCTTGTGTCTGATTTCTGTACTTTTATCTTGTCAATGGAGAACTTAAGGTGAGCCATTATAAGACAAGTGAGATATTTTAAATAGAGCCAATTTAAAGATCCATTGTAAAAATAAATAAATAAAGGATCCATTGTGTGGCCATTGATGAGTAGGATCTATTAATAGTGACTTAAACCAATAAGCCTTTTAATGGCTTAACCAAAGACACAATAGAGGTCTAGAGAGGGCAGACAGGATGCAGCCCCTCCCCATCCAAAAGATTACTTATGATATTAACCTAAGAAAGCAAAGGCCTTCATTGCACAGACTGGTATAGTGAATGTCTCTGGTGTCCCATGAAAATATGACACATCTCCAATCACACACCCACTAACCTGTGATTCCAGGTGGGCTCTTCTCAAATGAGACTTTCCAGCACTAACAAGCAAGGAATGTTGAAACAACAGATTCCTGTGGGCTGGAACCTCTCATGGCAAGTACCCTGGGAGGTGACACAGCTGGACAGAGAAAAATCTGATCCCCATCTATTAGACTGACCATCAAGGTGCACCATGGTAAGTGTACCCACCAGAGTAGAGACCGAAGTGAATATTCACACTGGTCAGACACCAAGCTCTTAGGACATAGAGCAAGACAAAAGGAAAATACTAACAGATCTAAGCCTTGAGTCTCCTGGAGCCCACTAATACCTAGGAGGTATTTGCTGTGGGTTTGGGACACTGTGTGGTTTTGCAGTGTACTTACTTCACAGAGGTTTACTTGAGGTTGGGAGTAACCTAGAGTCAATATAACCCTTTCTGTAACCAATGTAACCTATTATGGGAGGCTTCCTTAGCTAGCCAGCACTCTAACAGCTTTCAAACACTCAACCCATTCTCGTAAATGGGGCACTGGCTTCCAAGAAGTAGCTTAGCAACAAACCCCAAAACAACATAAAAGATGCAGACAAAGGAAAACAGAGACCATCTCTGGTAGGAAAATGATCCGTTAGTTACTAAAGGGTACTCTGCCAAATTAAGCAGAGTCACTTAGCCCAAGGAACTAGGTTCACAAATATTTTCTCCTGCTAATCTAAATTTAGAAAGAAAAAAAAAGAAGTCTCACCCGGCTTGCTCCATCAGATTCCACAGAGATTGGAAGAGGCTGACACGGTAAAACTTACCCACTGCCAGCAGTACAGCAGAAGTCCCAGGATCTCGAAGCTGCCGCATGGTCTGTTGCAAGCAGTATCCACTGAGTTAAAGAGTCCTGCCAACTATGCCAACCATTGGGGAGCAAGCATTCCTGTCCCCTCAAATCTCCCTGAAGCTTGACATTAAAAAATTAACAAGAGAAAACCAACTTTATACAGAACATATAGAGACTCCACAACACATAGAAATTCCCCAAACAAGCAAAATAAGGTATATATATGTGTCATTCTGAACTAAAGAAGGGTTGGACTTTGACATTTCAGAGTAAAGGAATATACTTCATACAGCAAAGAGAAGAGACAATGTTTGGTAATTAGATGTTTGCCCTGCCGTAGAGATGGGTCACTCAGATAAAATTAATCTCAATTCGTAACCTTTATTCGGAAAAGACCCCCCAGTTTAGATTCTTCTCTATGGTTAAGAGAGGAAGAAAAATTTCTCGAGTCTGCAGGGTCTCAAGAGCCTTCAAATCAGAATAGCCTACATGCCAAAGAGGCACACTGAAAGGCAGTGGCCTGTCTGGAAACCCTACAATAGAAAATAATCTGAACGTGTTACAAAGTAGGTTACCTCTCTGGCATTACAAAACACAAAAGGGAGTCATTATTAGATTTATATTCAAAACTGTTCCACAAATTAATCTGCATTCCTATTAAATTAAAAGAAAAAACTAAACTAGACTAAAGAAGCCAGGATGTACTGGGGAAACTGCTTTCCGGATATGACCAATGGAGAGAAGAACTACAGCCAATCATTAGCCGGCAGACGGACGACGAGTTGACGAATCAACGGTAGCCAAACGCATCCGTCATTTGCATACCACTGCCTACAAATATGCAGGATCCTGCTGCAGACTCCATTTTCTTCTCTGTCAGAAGAAAGCGACTCAGCATGCCTGAACCAGCCAAATCCGCGCCGGCCCCCAAGAAGGGCTCCAAGAAGGCGGTGACCAAGGCGCAGAAGAAGGACGGCAAGAAGCGCAAACGCAGCCGCAAGGAGAGCTACTCGGTGTACGTGTACAAGGTGCTGAAGCAGGTGCACCCCGACACCGGCATCTCGTCCAAGGCCATGGGCATCATGAACTCGTTCGTCAACGACATCTTCGAGCGCATCGCGGGCGAGGCGTCCCGCCTGGCGCACTACAACAAGCGCTCGACCATCACGTCCAGGGAGATCCAGACGGCCGTGCGCCTGCTGCTGCCCGGGGAGCTGGCCAAGCACGCTGTGTCCGAGGGCACCAAGGCCGTCACCAAGTACACCAGCTCCAAGTGAACCTGACAAGTAAGCCTCCTGACATCCTACCCCAAAGGCTCTTTTCAGAGCCACGCATGCTGTCAATAAATGAGCTATAATTCTTTCTAAAAGCTATTCTCAGATATATCCTACCAAGCTTAAAGGTAACTAGAAATCTTACTTTCATTTTGGGCCGCGCAAAAAGTATGTGCACATTTCCCTGTCAGTTACAACACCTACCATAAATTGAGCTCTATGAGCGAAAAACGGTTCTATCAAACCATTATTCCTTTAGTTTTACTAAACTAATAATTCTAAATGAAAATGCCATTTCTAATGTAGACCTGTTTCCGTGTGCAGGGCTCCAAATTCATTGTTACATACATTGTTCAGGAACTTGGTAAAGATCACTCCGTGGAAGCACATAATGGAAGGCTCTGAAAACTTTGTTCTGTTCAGAGCTTTTCATTTTCTTTTTAGAATATAGATATGTAATATTGAAAAAAGCTGAAGACAATATGAGTATTAATGGAAATCTTACATCCGCTTTTCTGCTGTGCTAGCTTTGCAATTCCTCCCCTCTCTGCTGGGGCGGGAGGGGGGGCGGTGGGGGGGATTGGGTGTGAGGTCTGTGCTGTGTCCAAAAGGCAGAGGGACAGGAAAGGGAACCTCTCCTGAGGGCTTCAAATGCTGTCACCTACTATAGCTTCTCTCCTAAGAAGTCCTATTTCATTTAATCTTTAAACGGCAGCATTTATCTGTAAAGCCCTCTGGGTCACAAGATTACAAAAGATTTTCCAAAAAGATTTGAAAGAACCAAATACAAATTCTAGAAATGAACCTAGGTGTATAATAATTATATGAAAATTAAAATTAAAGGCTTGCTGGATAGGCCAAATAGTCAATTGACCCCAGATGAAGAATTTACATGAACTCTGTAAGCAGAGTTGATCCAAAATGTGGGGGGAAAAATGTGAAAGTGAATTTAAGAGATCTGGAATAAGAAGTAAATTTGGCTGCCATACATCTAATCAGGGTACCACAAAGAACCAGAGAGAACGGTTCAGGTGCGAGCTTTCAAAGATCATGGCTGAGAATTTTTTAGAGTTGTCAGATTATGCATTAATTAAAATTAATCTAATTAATTAATTAATTAAAAATAGAGTGACACTCATACACCAAAGGGGAGTCACTCTGTCACATGGTGAACTAACACCCACAAATTCTCCCAACAAATGTAAGGCTGATTTTCACAAGGTTCTGCTTTCTAATCAGTTCTGATAGATGACGTCAGACTAAAACACTGTAATAAACTCGGGCATAATAATTAATAAGTGTATATAATAAGTATAATATAATAAGTGTATATAAATAATTGAAATTATTTCTATACACTCTATATCTATATACACTCTATATCTCTATATCTATATCTAATATTGATTCTAATCAATATTGATGGACTATCTTCTCATTGCCTATAATCCTACCATTAACAAATCAAAACATTTGATATTCTTTCCAATGTCTATTTCTGTTAATTACTTTTATCACGTTACTATGTTAGCTAAAATCACAAACTATTTGCTATGTTAGGTGTGCTGGCAGACACCACTGTCTTTGTCTTCCTTCTCATGGAAGTGGCTTTGGTAGTTCATGCCTTGTGAAAACCTTGTTTGCCTGAGTGCAAATGTGAGCATGTAATCTGTATGTGTTGATTAGTTTCCTTCTAAAGATATTTGAAGAGTTCTTATTAGGAATGCTGTGTGAACTGTTGCATTTAATGGAATCATGTGCTTTTCCTCCTTTATCCTGCTCCAACGCAGTACAGGTAGATTTCCTAGTGTTACTCCATACTTGCATTCCCAGGACAAATTTTATTTGGTTGTGTTCTATTATTATCTTAAATACTGGCTGCACAAATTTTAGTGTTTCAGAAGTATTTTACCTCCTCTGTTCACAAATAAAAATCATTGTTATTTTCTCTTTGGGGTTCATCCATGGACATGATGTCATTAGGATTAGGATAATGTCAAAAGCTTAATTGTGGTCCTTCCTCTATTCTCTACTGCTGTGTAACAAACTACCTAAAAACTCAGCAGCTTCAATCAACGAACATTTATTATCTCATTTTGTTTCTGGGTTGTCGGGAATCCAGAAGTGACTTGCTGGGAGGTTCTGACCAGGGTCTCTCATGAGATTGAAGTCAAGACGTAAACATGGGCTGCAGTCACCTGAAGGCTTGACTGTGTCTGGAGGGTCCCCTTGCAAAGTCGCTCACTCCCGTGCTACCCACGTTCCTGCTGGCTCTTGGCAGGAGGACCTGAGTAGGACCTCCGTGCCCTGCCACGTGGACCGCTCAGGAGGGCTAATGGACTCTCTTCCACAAAGACAAATCAGAGAGAGAGTGGGGGAGGGATTAGCCACAGTCTCTGTGGCCTAGTTTCAAATGTCACACGCTGTCACTTCTGCCACTTTCTATTAATTAGAAGCAAGTCACCTAAATGCGGCGTATATTCAGAAGGGACCTGGCTCCACCTTTCAAGGTAAGGGGAATACATTTGTGTACACAGTGCACATCGCCGCTTCATCTCTTTTATGCTTTAAATGCTTGACTGTAAACAGTACTTGTGCTTTCAAGAGTAAATAGAAATCAGGGTGCCTGGGTGGCTCAGTGGATTAAAGCCTCTGCCTTTGGCTTGGGTCGTGGTCCCAGGATCCTGGAATAGAGCCCCACATCCGGCTCTCTGCTCCGCGGGAAGCCTGCTTCCCCCTCTCTCTGCCTGCCTCTCTGCCTATTTGTGCGCTCTCTCTGTCAAATAAATAAATAAAATCTTTAAAAAATTTTTTTAAAAAAAGAGTAGATAGAAATCAGCAGTATAATCACCTGGACCTATTACTTTTATAAGTGGTGGCTTGTTAAGAATTTCAGGAAATTAGACTGCATTGACCATTATCCACAAAGACCACAGAGACAAAACCAATCAACCTCTCCCACATGATGTCCTGAGGGACTTTTCCCTGAGATTGTAAGGGACCAAACAGTGGTCTGTACACTTACATAAAACCAGCACCTTGCAGGTACTTAGAGAAAATACTGAATTAACTGAAGGAATTCATCTGAGAACTCCTAACCAGCTACCTGCACAGCAAATCTCCCATTCATGATGCTT